TCCCTCTAAACACTGCCACATAGGATGACATGTCATCAAGTCCACTAAGCAGGCAAAAAATATTTGGGCTTCTAACGTTAGGTTTATTTCTATTGTGATTTTGGCCTGATGAATTCGTATGTTTAATGGTGTTTGACGGCCCATGAAGGAAAATCCTAACTCATATGAAGCAGCGAGTTGGCGACGTCTGGGACTAAATTCTACATTGCCCCACTCACTACCATCTTCATTCTATTTTAACCCATCATAAATTTAATTTTTTTTTTTTGCTCAAAGTCTAAGTATGGTTAAAAAATCAATTATCCTTAATGAATCAGTATTATGTGTAATATGAATTACTAGAAACTACTTTGAATTACTTTGAATTACTAGAAACTACCTTAAATTACTAGAAACTACTACGAACAAAAAACAAAAAAGTGGGACAGTGAGAAAAATAGTGGGGTAGTTAGAATAGTTATTTTCTAACTGGGGTATATCAGAATACTTTCCCGACGCCTGAGCATTTCCAAATCTCTGAAACAGTTTGATTGGCTTTTTCTTCAAGCCACCTCTTCCACTATGTAACATTTAATTTTCTCTACCACTACCTTCTTTGAATTTGTGTGATCAATCCTATAAATAGTGACGATAAATTCCCCAAATCTCATTGCCTCACACCATTTCTTCATATTGTTTCCCTGCTAAAAAAGCGTTGAGGAATAATTATTTCATGTCACCTATTATCCGATGTGAAAAGGTTGGCCTCCTCATCTTCTTTAGCATTTTCCATTTTCAAATTTTGGTCACTGATTATCTTCACCCTATATATATTTGGTTAGCTATATGCAACAACATACATATTTAGATTCAAGACTCCTCTAGAACAAATTCGTGTTTGCCTTAGTGTAACCCTATAGGAAAAGTTAGATATGCAGTACTGTATTGAGTACTGGGAAGACATCTCCACTCTCCCAGAGATCTTCGAGATATCGTGCAAGAACCACAGCGACAAGTTTTTTCCTCGGGACCATGAGGCTGATCGCTAGAGAGGTTGAGACTAGCGAGGACGGAAAAGTGTTTGAGAAACTTCATTTGGGTGATTATGAGTGGAAGACGTTCGGGCAGACGCTTGAAGCTGTGTGTAGATTGGGCTCAAGTCTGAGGAACATGTCGCCAATTTTGTGGATACGAGAGAAGAGTAATTCATTGTGTTATAAGATTGCTTCAGGCGCAACATCACTGTGGTTACTATCTATTCATCTGTGGGAGAGGAAGCTCTTTGTCACTCCCTCAATGAGGTTAGCTCTTTCTTTTTTTTCTCTTTTAGTGGAATACATTATTTGACCAAGTTGTGGTATCTATTTCACATTTCTTTTGCAGATATGTTCATTGTGTTCATGGCACCCACAAACAAGAAATAGAGAGTTACAACCTTTCTCAAGAAGGAGCACTCTCCATTCTTGATCTCTCTTACAGTACAAAGTGGCAAAAAAAAATTCACACCATCTACTCTATTAAAATAGAGTCATTCTTTTTTTCTACTGATACAAGTTGTCATTTAAATTTGGACTCTTTCTAGAATACTAAAAATAATATAAGTCATATAATTGATTGAACTGTATTACTTAAATTAAACCAACACAAATTTTCTCCTACAAATATGGAATGTTCTAAAAGAATATATATCATCAAAATATGGAATATGGAAATCTACTAATTATACGTAAATTAAATCAGTGGTTATTTATGGAATATAATTTTGGGCTTACTTTTATTTTTTGAACAAATTATATCGTTTGGTTTTTGGGTTAGTATTAAGAAAAAACTCCAAAAAACATTGAATAATATTTTCACCTTAAAAGATCAATTATTATCTTCAGACCCAAAAGGTATTTAATATTTTTAACAAAACAAAATTATCTATTATTAATCATTTATTTAAATCATTTACTTTAAAACATGTTAAAATTTTTTTTTAAAAAATAACAATCACTTTGTTTTGATAAATTTCAATTGTAACTTTTCAATAATTTTTTTTTTTATTTTTCTTAAATAATTTACTGATTAAAAAATGTAAAGAAAAACCAAATCTAAAAACTAAAATCAAAAACCAAAAGCTGAAAACACATGTTACATTTTTTTTGCTTCGTTTATTTACAAAATAAACTATTTCAAATTTTTTTATTTAAATTTTTTGTCATCTTTTCAGTTTTAAATTAGATGTTCGATTATTTCAGATTTTTTTGTTGGTAATATCAGTTCAAACTAACTCAACGGTTTAAAAATTAAAAAAACCAAACCAAAAACTGAAAATGAAAAGTAGAAACTTAAAAACAAAAAACCAAAATCTAAAAATAAAAAGTGAAACTAAAAAATAATGAAAAACAATCATCACCACAAATTTTGGTGAACTGATTTTATATCAAAATATTCTTCAAATTAAGACAAAACCCAATTATATAAATTTTCAATCATAAAATATTTCCGCGCTTGAAAAGCGCGGGTCAAAATCTAGTTAATAAATAAATCAGGATATTGTAACCATCCTTATATAATCAGTCACCTATGTTGTTGTATGTTGTGTTCTCTCTCCATGTTATGTGCTTCCTACTGGTTTTGAGGTATATCATTATCACATTTTAGGTCAAGCCCAAAGTTGAAGCTGAATCATCAGTTAAAAAAAATATTGTTGTAATGGTAGAGTGGTTGAATTGTAGTCCTAAACACAAGTATAGATCGAAAACAGAACTAGATGGAGATATATCTTTGAAGAAGATATTAAACTTAATGCTATGCTCCAAACCAGCGTCCAAGAGAGCTCGAGACAACAACAACAACAAAAAAAATCGGTGTTCAACAACATGCAAGAAAAACAATTCTTATATGTCTTCATCATCTTTATTGTTAGTTGAATATTTTTTTAGTTCCATAAAATAAAAACTTATTTAAAATATAAAAATAACTACATTAAAAAATTTTTTAACAAATCATAATTCATTTACAAAAAACAAAAAAAATATTAAATTAAAATGTTCAAATTAAATATACAAATAGAAAAACAAAGCTATTTACATAATAAAAACAAAGAAAACTGCGTTTCAAAAGTCATAGATTACATTGAAGGTGTTTTCTTTACAGCTATGAAACAACCTTAAAAGTTATAATATTTGAGATATAAATGACTAAAGATACATGTATGTGTTAATTTATAATAAAAAAAAGAAAATAAATCTAGACTATCAAAATTTTAATCAACTATTCTATATCAAATATGAACTGTAACAAAATGAAATTATATAATGCTCAAACTAAACTTACACATTATAATTGTCAGACTCAAATTTCCATTCTTGAGAGTTAAAATAAGAGCAACCCACAACTAACCAACCAATCATAGATTCATAATTATCAAATAAAAAACAACAAGAACATTCACCTATACCTCATCCACCCAATGTAACATGTTATATGCTGCAATCTATTAATATATATACAAACAACTAAATCAAACATAATTAATCTTAACATACATAATTACACACTCTAACATTGTTTAAAACCATAAACCCTAATACACACTGTTTTACAAAAGCTTACATTAAACACACGCAAACAAAATATACAATTATATTTTTACATACATCGCACATAAATGTTTTTTTTTAAATGCTAAGTTAAAATATCTTAAATTCTATAATTTATTGAAATATAAAATATATGTTAGATAGTCACCTTTAAGAAACCATTATTAAAACCACTAAAAATAAATATTATTAGAAAACGTTAAAGTTATGTCAACAGATTTAACTAACTATATTGATTAAGAATATCTAAAAATTGTTCAACATACTAAACTTACTGGTCCAATCCAAACACACAAAACAATCCTTACGAGAAGAAGTGACCAATGTACTTTTTGATGAAACCCAAAAACAAAAATCCAGTGAGATAAAAAATGAATATTAAGAAAATCAAACAAAATAAGATCAAATAAAACACCAAGAAAGTGTTACAATTTCAGTTAAAAATTAATAATTATCTTAGTATCAATTTTGGTACTACTTTTATGTAATCCAAAGAGATTCTTTGAGATTTTTATTTTCAGAAAGTACATAATTATCTAACAATAATGACAATTAGTAACATTAGTGTATTTTTTTCCAAAATAATACAATTAAGCAATGTTTTTTCCATGATATATAATTAATCTTATATTTAATTATATATCATGGAATACAAAAAAAATGATCCATCTATAAGCATTTTCAAATAAATTTCACTTCAAAAATATTTTAAATATTAAGTAGATAATAAAATAATATAGTGTAGTATTTTATGTTTTAAATACATATCTTAGTCGATTCTGTTTATTTGAACAAAATATGATTCATTTTGTTTAACAATTATTCGTTTGAACTGATCTATAACGAGAGAACAAATGATACATATTTTATAAAAGCAGAAAATAAATCATCTATCACATAATTTAGTTAACTGTAACTATTATGAGGTTCAATATATTAAAATTATATATAAAGCGATTTCACATAAATCATGTCTTACTAAATATATAATTGCATTTTTGAAGCTGAAAAAAAATCATGAAGAATACTTAAGGAATCCACTCGCCGCGCTTTGCGGCCCTAGTATATATATAAGGTGATGCCCTGAGTTTCACAATTAATAAAATTGGACGTGATGAATATAGCGTCCACCTTTGGAATTAATAGCAATTGGTTCTATGGTGTAGTGGTTAGCACTCTGGACTTTGAATCCAGCGACCTGAGTTCGACTCTCGGTAGGACCTGTTTTTACTTTTTGCACAAGTTTGCGCCTAATGAACTAGATTCTTGCATATTTGCTACGATACTATTTTAAAATTGAAACCTTCAACAATAGAATTCAATCTTGATTCTTTACAACACTTTTGAATATCTCTTTTTCGGATATGAATACTATGATTTTGTTATGCTCAATAAAACTATCTTCTTTAAATCTTCAACTTTGTTTTTTATTTGCTCAAAACTGTAACACTTAGATATAAAACTCATAGACAAATCAGGCTAAATCATTTGCTCTCTTGCTTAACATACGCTTCTTTTACCCTCTAGATAACCCAAGAAAGTACACAAAGCAATAGATTCTTGTAGAGATACCAAAACACATAACATTTGATTCATCTTTGATCAGTACCAAACAACACATTCCAAAATCAAAACCAAACAAAGAAAACCTCTCCATAGCTTCAGAAAAACTATTACATTCCAGTGAATGCCTTCTTTGCAAAGGCAGATGCACCTGCTGGGATCACCTTCAGTACATTGAACCTCACAGTCTTTGACAATGGCCTGCAATAAAAACAAATAAATATTCAGACCGTGACTAAATCTTATTACAATACAACATAAGCATAAAGACTCTGTTTTTACCTGCATTGGCCAATGATGACATGATCACCTTCTTTGACACGGAAGCAGGGTGAGACATGTGCAGGGATATTCGAATGTCTCTTCTCATATCTGATCAAAATCAAATTATTTAAAACATTAATAAACATGAAGAGAGGTTATTTTAATGGAAATGTTTATTTAACCTTATAGAATTGCTTAATTTTTTTAATAAACATAAAAATAAGAAAAAAAAGATTAGTACCTTTGATACTTCTTTACGAAATGGAGATAGTTTCTACGAACGATGATGGTTCTCTGCATCTTGGCACTGTGGCAAGTACCAGCTAAGATACGTCCTCTTACTGAAACGGTTCCAGTGAATGGACATTTCTTGTCAATGTAATGTCCTGTTTCCACAAGATAGAACAATGGTTCGGTTACAAAAACATGTCTGAGAAATTGCTAAAGTAATGATACTTAGAATCTATCCAAAAAAAAAAAGAAAAGAACGAACCATCAATGGCGTCACGAGGAGTCTTGAAACCCAAACCAATGTTCTTCCAGAAACGGTTTCCACCTTTACCAGGTCTCTTTCCTTTCCCTGATTTCTTCGAACTAAAACACACATAGAATCATCATCATAAGGACTAACACGTAAAGTAAAATGATAAAGATTTGTTTTTTTTTTTTCCTGTTTCGTCTTACCTTAGGAAGACTTTGGGTTGCTTAAGGAAAGCTTTCTCAGTCTGCAAAAGAAAGAAGATAATGAGAATATTCGTTAGAAGTGTGTAGATAAAGAGACAGAGAAGGAAGAAATGGAACCTGTTCAGCCATGGCTACTGGTTTGCTGTTCTCAGGTGAAGAAAATGATGTAAGAAGAGATTCAAAGAGGTAAAGACTGCGACTGATAAACTCGAGGCTTCGGACAAAAGTCACAAAACCCTAGTTTCGGAGATCACTCTTTACCTTGGTTTTGGGCCTTCTATTCATGGGTCTAGTGTTTCTTTCGATTTCTTTATAAGAGCCCATAAATGATTGGGCATCGACATTTATGAAGTTTGCTAACAATAATATTTTATTTATCAAATTTTAATTTTTGTAAGTTTAACTATTTCACAAGAGACTTGTGTTAACTGAGGTTTTTGAGAATTTTAATAAAGTTTTTTTTTAATTGAGAAACTATAATTTGAGTATTGTTTGCTAGTGGTAAATATAATAGCATTTCAATTTAGGTTAAAGAGAATAGTAGTACTTAGTTACAAATTAGAACTACCCTAGCTTGTTAGACCATCTTTATCGCGGTTTATTCAACCCGTATCCTGATTTTTTTATGAATAAAAGAAAAATGAAAAAGGAAAAAAGCAGAAGAGACGGGTTATTTGTTGGCTCGTGAAGGAACGTATATTGGTGGACGCGTGTCAACAAACGAGAGGGTGGTGCGTCGGTTACGCGTTAAACGCGAAACAAAAATTTATTTCTCTATCTCTTTCTTTCTCGAATCCTCTCGACGATGGCGATTTGTTTGACGATATGGTCGATGATGCATGTGATTGAATCGGTTGAATCTGCTTTTGTCGGTGTGTCTCTTCGACGGCGACGGAGCTTTCCCGCGGTGGCTTTATCGAAAGGTTCGGTTCTCTATTGTTTCATCTTGCATGCGATTCTTTGTATGTTTAACTTGTTGTGATCTCAATTTTTATTTGTATTTTTTGTTTGTTGGGTTCGATTTGGTGTATCAATGGCGATGGAGCTCTACTCGACGGCGCCATCTGAGCATCTATAAGAAAATGGCGTCTGCCGCGAGCAGTTCCTCTGCTAAGGAGAGGAGAGAGCAAGCAGCTGCTGCTGCTGCTGGAGGAGGTGCTACGACGTCGTCTAGTTCCGGAGCGTCGAAAAAATCTCAACTTTGTTCTGTCGGTGAGTTAACACGACCCTCTTCGTGTTTGTCTTAATCTGATGCTTATTGATATCAAAGTTTCAAACTTTATGTTGGGTTTTGATGGTTTAGTTGATTTTACATAGGTATGATTTGAAAAGGTTATTACTTTGCATTTAGCTTTATGTTGCGACTCTGTGAACTTCATTGGTAAAAGGGTTCTTGTTTTTACAATGCTTCAGATACAGTTGATTCAGTCTTGAGTATTGTTTGTCCTAATCTGATGCTTAAAATAAGTTTTTTTTTTGTTTTGTTTTTGGTTGCAGGGAAAACTGGGCAGAGCTTTACTCCACATATCGTTAATGTAGCTCCTGGTGAGGTATGTCATGTTCAAGTTCCTTTCCTCTTATAGATTTTCTGATTAATATATAAATCAGTGCTAGAGAATTGAGTCATAACACAGTGTGCATGCTTGCTGTGGAAGCTAAAGGATTCTTTATTTAGACTTGCTTTTCTTTGAAGTTTGCGTATAGTTGTTAGACTTGTTCAGAATTTCGATTATTTATTCAGGGTCAGTACGAGAGTGTAGTTAATGTGAGTGTAGATGTATGTTGCTTATGTCTGATGTTTCTTCACTCTGTTATTTGATTTATTGATAATATGATTTGTTGTTGTGAGTGTAGTTAATGCTGTTTGTGTGTTCGTGTGTAGTTAATGTATTCTTGGACAGGCAGAACCCTTGGCTGAGTACGAAGAAGCTCTAAAGAAAAAGCTGATGACTGAGTTGTTGGTTGACTAGTTTAAGTATGAGTTGTTGTTGTTTCTTTTAAGTATGAGTTGTTGTTGTTTCTTTTAAGTATGAGTTGTTGTTTCTCTAGTTTAATGTTGCAGTTTAATGTTCTTAAATCCTCTGTTGGTGCTCTGTTTTATGTTCTCGAATGTATTGTTGTTCTTCTGTTTTAATATATCATCTTATGTTTTTGTTGTGGTTGTGTTTATTTCTATTCACTTCGTGACTTCTGTTTCTTGACAGACTGGAGCATCACGGACTCTCTTAGGACATGTCAAATGTGGGAGACATCACAGACTCTCTTTATGGAATGATTATTTCTGTCAAACTCCTACGTATCCTGATAATTTATTTCGACGACGTTTTAGGATGAACAAGCCATTATTCATGCACATTGTCAATAGACTCTCCAACGAAGTTCAATATTTCCGGGAAACGACAGATGGTCTCGGAAGGCGTAGTCTCTCTGCAATTCAAAAATGTTCCGCAGCCATTCGTGTCTTGGCGTATGGTTCTGCAGCTGATGCTGTCGATGAATATCTTCGGCTCGCTGAATCAACAACTCGACTATGTGTGGAAAATTTCGTTGAAGGCATAATAAATTTGTTCGGCGATGAGTACTTAAGAAGACCAACACCAGCTGATCTTCAACGTCTACTTTATGTTGGAGAGTATCGTGGCTTTCCCGGGATGATAGGAAGCATCGATTGTATGCAGAGTGGAAAAATTGTCCCACGGCTTGGAAAGGGCAATATTCTCGTGGTTCGGGTAAACCAACAATCGTTTTAGAGGCGGTTGCTTCATATGATCTCTGGATATGGCATGCGTTTTTTGGACCTCCAGGTACCTTAAATGATATCAATGTTCTTGATCGCTCACCTGTTTTTGATGACATAATAAATGGTGAAGCTCCTCCAGTCACTTATTATGTCAATGGAAGAGAGTATCATATGGCTTATTATCTCACTGATGGTATTTACCCGAAGTGGGCAACTTTTATTCAGTCTATTTCACTGCCACAAGAGCCGAAAGCGGTTTTATTTGCTAGAAAGCAAGAAGCTTTCCGAAAAGATGTCGAGCGTGCTTTTGGTGTCTTGCAAGCTCGGTTTGCCATTGTCAAAAATCCCGCACTTTTTTGGGATAAAATCAAAATTGGGAAGATTATGAGAGCATGTATCATTCTCCATAATATGATAGTAGAAAACGAACGAGATGGATACACTCTATTTAATGTTTCAGAGTTCCAACAAGGAGAACACACCGGAAGTTCACATGTCAATCTCGATTTTCAGCAAGAGATACCTTCAAATTTAACCAACATAATGGGTGCAGCTCGAAGACAAATCCGTGATACAGCAACGCATCATCAACTGAAAGCTGATTTGGTTGAACATGTTTGGCTTAAATATGGAGGCCTTGATGAAGACAACAACTAATCTCGGATGCATCTTTCAAAAAAATGTCGTTTTAGTTTAATAAACTTTGTTTCCATGTTTTCATTTAAAAATCTATGTTTTAATTATCTTTTATTATGTTTTATTTAATAAAATCTGTTTTAGTTTTAAAATAAAAATTTTAATATTATTTTATTTTGAAGAACTCTCAAACAAGAGACTTGCAATAGAGGCATAAATATATCAAGGTTCTTCATTAAGTCTCTTCACCTACTTTATTCCTTAAACAATATTAAAATTTAATCAAGAGACCCATTAAGGGTATGTGGGATAAAGATGCTCTTAGTTTGTTGATACGGTCTCTGCTCTGTTTAATAAGGTCTATTGGATTCTGAGATGATGACGATCTACAATTTTGTGTGGCTTTTCTAAAGCATGTGTAGTGTAGATGTAGAGACGTAGATATGAATGACATGATATCTTTTTCGAGTTATAGTTATCAACGTTGGTAATTGGTATAACTAGAATGTGAAAATTTATCAACTAGCAAATAACTCTTTTTGAAACTGTTAGGATTCTATCCCCCGCTTAAGTGCTTAGATATGAACTTTGATCTTAGGATATTGAGAAGAATGATAAAAGATACAAGAAATTGATAACTAAGTTCTCGGCCTCTAACCGGTACGTCTCGGGTGGGAACCGTCTCCTGAACTTAAGTAAGTGATTAGCCCAATAGAAACATTGCCTATAGTAATGGAATATCAATTCACAAAGACATAACAAACAAAAACAAGAAAGGAGGGGTTGGATTCTTTGTTCCAGTTTGATTGCTATATAATCAAATCATTAGAAGCTGAATATGTTCATGGTACCACAAAAGAAAATGTAAATAATCAATTGTGTACCTAAAGATTTATGGTCTGGAGCATTAGGAGGCATGGATAACAAAAGAAGAGAAAAGAACAAATATATATAATTACACAATCCAATGTAGGATAAATCGTTTCTTTACAGTAACTAATTGTTCTGGAAAAACTGTATGGACTGTTACAATAAGTTGTAAAAAAATTATATGTCCAGATTTACCAAAGAATCTGCTGTAGTAGAAGCTGGAATGAGATTATGACATGTTTTATCACATGGATATGGGCAACCTATTTCTTTCACTTCCTTTCGTCTCCCAAAATACCAATCTCCGACCGTCCTAGCAATTGTCTGAAACCAAAACCGGATACGGTTTACAATAGTTGTGTACCTTATATACCTTATTGTAAACCGGAATCAAAACACAAAGAATCAAGTTCTTGGTTTAGTATATACACCTTATTGTGGATCCTCGGTGAAGTGGGAGATAGCCAAGTTTCTTGTAAAGCACTCTGACAATGATCGAAGCATGAGTTTATAAACATTCCACCTCTCGTAGAATTTCTAAAAAAATTGATTAATGCTCCCAACATGTCCGTCCTAAACCCTACAAAAAAACAAAATTCCGGTTTAGTACTTATTTCTAACCGGTTCTCTTGTTTACATCGAACCAATTTGGTTAAAACCTTGGAGTGCATCGAGCTGGTGCGGATTACATGCTGTCACATTAAGCTTGCAATGGTTCCAACGCTTGGTCCGGTCCGCTGAAGGTGGTACAAGCCCATGATGGAACTGTTTACCAAGTGTAGAATATGTAAACCGGCTTAGACAAGTATAATACAACCAGCGCATGGTAGAGTTAAAACTTTGGTCTATGATATAATAAACCTTCTACTGTAAATTGTTAAAAATATTTCAAGATAATTTACATAAACGTAAATTAAGTTTCTAAACTGTTTAATTTTTGTTACTCTTTTTTTTTTTTTACAAAATGACAATATAACCTCCAAAATCTGGACCAGCACATAGACACAGTATAGAGAAAGTTACCTGGAATACATCGTATGCTGAATTTAAGATGAACATTGGTGTTTTAATGAATCTCAATGCATATTGTGGGAAAAAACACTGCAAAGTTGAAGATTTTATTGTAACTTAGAGATTTAACTTTGTAACAAGAGGTTATATATATTTGATAGGTGGAATCGTACCAGAGATGGTTCAGGATAGAACGCTCGTGTGCAGTTTGGATCAAGGTTCTTTTGTATACCCTAGAAAGTTTGTTCCACATTATGCAAGAAAATCAGAAATATTGTGGGAATGATTGAGAATCAAGCTGAGTTAGATCTTAGTCTATACCTGGAGAGACACAAGCTTAGTGTAGAAAGATCTCATTGTCCGGTTTGATGCTACATCGATTCTGTTATACCAATATAAAATTATGAATGTTTGTAAACCAATCCGGTTATTGTATAAACCAGAGATAAAACTTACGCGTCAAGAAAGAATCCAGCGTCGCTCATGCACTTAACGTTTGCGGTTTTTGGAAGATAGTTCTTGAAGTTGTCACAATGCAAAAACGTTGATAACCCACCAGCTGAACAACCGGTCAGAAGAGCCTATGTACCGGTTATTAATGAAATTGGCCGGTTTAGTATCAACACATTAATAATCTGATGTCTACAAAGTAACTCAAGCTAAATTGACCGGTTTGATGCGCACAAGAAAAAACTAAACTGACCGGTATAGTATCAAACGCATGGACTTAGTGAAACTAAACCGGGAGAGTAAAAAAAAATTTACCTTGCGAGCTTTTGCTAAACCTTTGGGTAGAAGGTCAAGAATGATGGCCTTCCATATTCGTTGACCTCTGAAATAAAGCATTGACGTCTGTCATTAAATTCAATCGAGTAAAATATCAGTAATTATGTACTCACAAGCTAGATTGTTTGGTACGTTTTCCGGTTATTGAAAGCGGTTTAATAAAGTAATAATTGGTTTACCCCGTTGCGAAATTGTGCATCTCCCGCAAACGAAGCTCCATCGCAATACCTCAGCCTGACTTTATTCCAGTTGTAAAAATCTGATATAAAAAATTGTACATTATAACACAAAATTAGAATAATGTGGAGTCCAACCAATGTGCAGCTAATACTAGTAATATATAGAAATTAACTAGTAATCATAATGTGTATACGATACGTGAAGCCTTTAAAATAAAGTGTATACGATACGTGTGTGTGCTCGTAAGGAAGGGGACAAAGACAAAAGCAAATAAGGAGAATAAAGCCATAAGTACTATTTAGATGTCTCATGTCTGTATATTTTATTAGAGGAAAGCTGAATTTAACAGAAACATTTGAACCATCACGTGAAAGAGAGACCATACCACAAGCAAACATGTTCACTTAATAAATTGTTTAATAGATTAACTTTATATTCGTAATATAATGGATTTATTATACTATAATGACCTGGATTTAAAGAGGCGTTATTGCTCAAGATTCCAGTGAAGACGGCGGTTTTGCTCATAAAACGTGTCGACCCTCGACGGGTCTTTGATCTATCCACGCATGATGCTATATCATTGCACCATCCTCCTCCCTGTAACCAACTTTACATTAGTATATATGGAGATAAATAGAGAATGTTATAAATGCGCTTAATAAAGTGTAAGGCGTGAGACACGATCCAACTAGCTCGAGACACTATGCTGCTTTAAAGTTCCTTAAACGGCTCCGTACTAGGTTTTGATCATGAGCATGTCTCAATTCTCTTTATAAGTGTGGAGATTAGTATAAATTAATTACTAGCAGTCTAGCATCGACTTATAATCTAGTGCCGAGCCACTTGGTTGCATTTTAATCTACATAATTTACATTTTAACTCAACAAATATCTGATAATTGTTAACTCGTTATTAAAATTTATTTTAAGAGCTAAATTAATATTTTCAAAATAGGAAGTTATCAGAAACAACTACTCTGTAAATATGTGTGATTCTTCTATATGCTTAGCTAGCTGTATTCAATTGTTTTTTCCCTATTCATGGAGTTGGTTACAACAGCAATACTTTATGAAAGGAACTAATAAAAGATAATGCCCTACCCAAATGGCTGGCCAGTTTCAATATCCACAGCAAATGATTGATTACTTGTTAAAGGTATTATTTAAATATATAAATAAACATTTGAAGAATAGAAACATTTTTGTGCATGAAACATTTAAGTATAGTAAAAGTTAATTACCTCAAACTGCAAAAGCCAATTGTTTGATCCAGCGCCGAAGCCTCTGTCTAAATGATATGCCGGTAAGCTACCGTCCAAGCAAACTACAAAACAAAATATAAAAGCAAAACATATAAATCCAAATGTATGAAAAAAGAAAAACATTGACATGAGGAAAGTCAAATGAATGACCCAAACGATAGTGACTATATAGAAACAAGTAGATAGTAGTCAAATTTTAATGATGTTGCGGTTAAAAAGTATAGTGAATCATCCACACAAAAAATGATATATAATCCTTGTATTATATACACGACAAATGCATGATTATGTTGAAGAAAAAAAGAAAAGACGACAACTGAAAAAGGAGGAAAGACCGAGGAGGACATACACGCACCAAGAGCAGCAGCCCCTCGAACCAGTGTCATGCTGACTCTCTGCCCTGGATCGCTTGAGACAAGCGGCATAGATGAGGCTACAAAGACGAGAAGAACCATCGCCGCCGTTAGATCGAGAAGCCACGGCGTCTTCATTGTTGAGTTAGATGCTAGTATGTGTTTATCTTCTTGTTGTGTATAGATTCTTGAGAGGG